GGGGAAAGGAGGGAAATGGAGAGAAATATGTCTGTCTTTCTAGCCTGCGTGGCAGCGCTTTGGGGAGGGGGGAGGGGGAGGGGAGGAGAGGAGGAAGGAGAGGGGAGCCCTCCCTAAAGCGCCCCTACGCAGGTTAGAAGAGAAGGATGGAGAAGTGGGGTGAAGGGAAATGACCTCGTCTATTCCTCTATTAGCCTTTCTGAGGTTGAGAAAACAGGACTGTTTAAGGGACAAAATAGACGCCATCTTGGAAATATGTCCTCTAAAACAGCCCCACAATGCACTGCAGTGCCAACTCGACCCAGTTTTTTCTCTCAACCTCGAAATGCCTAATATCTTTCTCTCCTTCAAGGACTCGGAACAAAACAGAGCCATATAAAGAATCAATAGGCATGCGTTTTATGAAGAGACGGCTGACCTTAAGCATTGCAGCATCGATTGAACCTGTCTGGTTTTCATCGAGAGTGTTAAATAAATCCTGAAATGATGCAGATGGTTATTACCAGGAAAAATTACCTTGGTACAGGAATAAAGGACAGATAGATAGACAAATAGATGCCAACAAATTAACAGAGGGCCGCTAATCAGGTAGCCTGCGTGCAGCCGAACAAACTAACTGTTAATTATACGAGACTATACGATAGAAAAGTCCGGCTGCACGCAAGCTACTACGTAGACTAGCAGACACCCATCATTAAACGAGTTGAATGGTCCCAAAATTTTCTTCTCATATTTACTATGAAAATACAGGCCCCAAAGGAGTCCGCTCAAGAGAGGTTTTGCTCCGTCACAGTCAGTCACTTATCTTAGATGGCAGAATAATAAACCCCTTTGCTATGGGGACTTCAAGTCTTTCTCATGTAAAACAATTCCATTGTTCCTGCCATCCAACATGGCTGATGCCACGTGATGGTGCGAAACCTCTATAGTGTCAATGTATTTTGATTCACGTAATAGTTTTGTGTAGATTTTGTTTTCACAACGCAACGAGAATGCTTGCGTTGTTGGTGAGAACCAGACTTTATTGAAAGCTGTCGCAGGTGGACAGTTTGTCTCGTACGACACTGAGTCGAAGGTCGATAATCGAATACGACCACAAAGCTTTTTCACCGCGACAACGATTTCTCACCAGGTACGTAGGAAGTGAGTCTTCAATATCGTCAATATTTACGGATTCAAATCCCTTGAACACTGAATTCCTAAACACAAGTTTGAGAAGAAGTTTAGAATAGATAACTGCGTCGGGACAGAATGGAAATAACTGGGGGGATATCACGGTATCAGAGAGTTTTAGATTTACGTTCACGGCAAACGTGAAACGTTAGTTGACCAGTAAAAAATTCTTTTGAATTACTGAAAAAGAATCCCAAAAAAGTCCAAGTAGTAGAAAAACGAAAGAGTATTTGCGCTTGGTGAGAAGGTTTGTAAAAGGTAAAGTAAAATACAGGAAAACTATGAAAAGGTGTTCACGTTTGCCGTTTGCGGGGAGGAATAAAAGTCAATCTAAAACTCTCTATTGATGTGCTGTGCTATGCCGTGACCGTAACGGTAACTTGTCTAAGTATTTTGATTGGATGAGCGATAATCTATCGCTGTGGTTGGTTCAAAGGCTTTCATTCATTCCGTGTCGTGACCGTGCCGTGTCATAGCATTTTGATTGGATGAGAAATAGCGCTGTTTCGCTGCGTAAATCAGCATAAGGCTGATTCGCACTAAAGTAATTGCAATAATAATAATAATGATGATAATAATAATAATAATAATAATAATAATAATGATTCTTACTTGACATGCGCAATGACGTCACACATTTGATGAACAGCCACGAATTCTTCAAACCCAAAGAAAGTGCTCTCGCAAGCCATAGCATATATCTGAAGTCATAAAATACGAATGAACTTTCGTTTACTCCAGAGCTTTTATCGATACGCGTGCAGCGAAGATGAACGGAGTCTTCTTTGCATTTCGTGCGCGTGCGCGTATGCCGTCTTCTTTTTATTTCTGAGGCGTAAAGCGATAAAATTTGTGCGCACGGTAAAATAAAAGACGATTTACAAATGAAGCCCAGAATTAAAAAATGCGCATTTAAAATTGGCATTATTACCCCATTTCCTCCCCCATAGTGTATTCTATGGTAATCGAGTTGTCTTTTTGTAATAAGGTCACTCGGTAGACTACGTCTCCCCTCCCCTCCCCCATCGTGTATTCTATGGTAATCGAGTTGTCTTTTTGTAAGGTCGCTCGGTAATCTACGTCTCCCCTCCCCTCCCCCATCGTGCATTCTATGTACTTAGTGTCCTCATACCTTTTTTAAGTAATCAAGTTGCCTTTTCGTGAAGTCACTTGGTAGACTACGTCTCCCCTCCCCTCCCCCATCGTGCATTCTATGTACTTAGTGTCCTCATACCTTTTTTAAATAATCAAGTTGTCTTTTCGTGAGGTCACTTGGTAGACTACGTCTGAGCTCACTGAATGACAAGTGTCTGTTAAGAAAGCAAGGGAAAAAAAACGTCTTCTGTGAGGCTACTATCAAAGATGTCATTTCCGATCTGAAAGGAATTTTTCTACCAATAGGACACTTGCATTATAGCGTTATTTACTAACGCTACCAGACTCCCTTGCACACTTTCTTTTGTTCGGTTAATTAGCACCAACTATTTTACTATTCTCATGAGAAAATACAAATTTGAATAAAGGAAGAAATTTCGCGAAGCATTTTGGTTATAGTAGTAAAATGACGCCATCATGCAAAAGGCCCATTGAATGGCTACTAGGCAGCGTTTGACTGTCATTGTAGGCTGGTAATGAGATTCATGAGATTCATTCAACTGATTGATAACAAGCAATAGAATACTCGGGTTGATAGCACATTATGGACAGTGTTTGCCTGTCATTGTAGGCTGGTAATGAGATTCATGAGATTCATTCAACTGATTGATACCAAGCAATTCTGGCTTCCCTCTCAAATGGCTGGAAAAATTTTCAATTCTCGCCAATTTTTTACCAACCCCACCCCTCTGATAAATAATGAATGGTTTTTAATTCTAGAAGAACATCTTTATCGCTCACCCATCACCATCGTTGTCAAGCTTAGTGAACATCTTTCGCAGAGTTGAAAATTCATCGTCATCTTTAAGTCCGTCCGACTGAATCTAGGACAATAAATCAAGAGGTGTTTATTTATATATTTTATTATATTTTATATTATATTTTATATATGTTATCTTTTCTTTAGTATTGTTACATTCTAAATTACTTATCTTTCTACCATTTTTTCTATTTAAACCCCTACCTGGAGAAGTTTGGGCGTGACTACCCGTCTTGCGTTACAGGGAATGGTTACCATGGTTTCGTTTTCTACTTCACTTATGACGTCATAGTTTTTGTCGTTGTCTTCAATGCTAGAAACAATATTGATGTAACATCATTATTGAATATATATCACGAGTCCCCGCCGGAATACCTCTGCGCGCTTAATAAATGAATAAAGCATTCGCACGCGTTTTCTATTTCTTCAGTTCAGTGTGTTGGAGAGGGGTGCTAGTTCACTGTGACGGGGAGGGGGGGGGGGGATGTCAGTTAGTTGAGTATATGCGGCGGGTGCTGCTAGCTAGTGAGTATCTTAGGGTAGTAAACTCGTATAAAGTTTCAGGGTATCGATCAAATTTTGTGAGCTACTCTTCATACCTTATCAACTCCACCTCCATCTCCACAGATGTCTTGTCAAGCAGAGGATCTGGCTCTACACACTTTTCTTCTTTACTTTCAGTCTCTTCGTTTTTTGTTTTTATCTCTTCTTTCGAAACATCGTTCGTGGACGAACTTTCCTCTGGTTGGACTTTCATTTTGTGTTTTGATTTCTTGTCTATAGAAATGTTTGATGTTGTGTGAGTGCTTCTCCGTCGCTTGTCGTAGAGTTTCTCCTGCGAGTCTGTACGAAGCGGCACTATTTTCTTCATCTGTCGAAAACAAAGATAAAATTAGGGAAGAATTGAGAATTTGACCTGTAGTACCAATGCGAAGAAACTCGAACTTTTTGTGTGTTATATAGACCGTTTTCTCAAGGTTACGTGCGTATCCAACTTGACGGGCCACGAAACTGAAAAACGCAAATTCAGCAAAATTGAGAAGCCAGTTTTATATTTAAAGAGGAGAATAATGATTTTATGAATTCTTATCGAAAAAAAATCACAGCAATGCATGATAATACTTGTGTTCTGGTATCGTGGCCCGTCAAGTTCCTTAAATTTGGATGCGCACGCAACCTTGAGAAAACGGTCTATTGATGAATTTCATGCGCATGTCTAAATTTATTTAAGGTGCATTTATATGGGCAACGAAATAGCATAACTTGGGGCACAACAATGTTGCGTTGCAAGTTGCGCAACAATTAAATCTTCATTGTTGCAAAGATTAAAGAGAGTTTCTACTTCTATTCGCACAACAATGTTGCCCGCGGTGTGGTAACACGAACAACATTTGCTCTGCAACTTGCAATGTTACAATGTTGCACGAATTTGGTGCTTATATTAAAGCACCTTTAGCATATAACCAGGCGCAAGAATATATTGATGATGATGATGATGATGGTGAGGACGATGATGATGGCAATGATGAGGATAAATTCTATTGGAAAACGTTCTGAACTTACCGTTTTTCTCGCGTTCTCTAGCGACAGTCCTATTCATAGTAAAAAGAATCAGAAACTCACTTCATTATCCACTTTTTCCATAAAAACGCCAACCCCGCAGCTTCACTATCAAAACCTATTTACCCTGGGTGTGCTTATATTCAGCTCCATTCAGTGGAGGACATATTACAATAAAAGGTTTCCAATTCTCAGGAGATTGAAATTCTTTTGTTTTGCCCTCCAAATCGAGCTGCTTTGACGCCACTTGCAAATTTATTCAATCAAACTTACCCGAAGGCTTTTTCTTGGTGGTTTTAGGGAAGCTGGGCCTATTGTTTATCCACGAGTTCCCGTTCGATTCTCCATTTTGATCGCAGAAACTTGAACCACTACTGCTGTGCATGCTGGTCTCGCTTACCACCGACCTGGAACTTCTCTCCTGTTGTGGACAGAAAAACGTGAAGACAAAATTGAGCTTGAAAGAAACGAATGGGAACTCAACTGGGTGCTAATCTGTAAAGACTGGAGACTGGACAAAGCATTTGGCATACGAGGATTGGCTTCGCTATCGTAAATTGCGAGGGAAAATATCAAAGTCCTATTTTTAGTCAAGTACCTTCAAAACGATAAAGAAAAAAAGAAAAAAGAAAAAAGAAAGAAAAAAGGAAAAAGAAAAAAGAAAAAAAGGAAAAAAATAAAAATAAAAAATAAAAAAATAAAAAAGCTAGAGTAGGTATAAGTTTCAGGTCACCCATCCAGGTACTAACTTCCCTCAACCGGACTTGACTCAGTGTCTTTGACGCCCAAGTTTTTCCCACTGGACCATGGTTCTACGGAATCAGCATAACAATAGGCCGTGAAAACAATGCACCGAATAGACTAGACTTTTTAA